GGTTAGCTCAGTTGGTTAGAGCACAGCCTTGTAACACCAAGGTCAAGGGTTCAGATCCCCACACCGGCCAGCCACCAAAAACGAAACAAGGAAACAGTGCATTCTATCGAAGTGAGTTAACCAGCCAGCCCCAAAAGGAGGGTGTAGAAGAGATATTTGCACACCCATGGTCATAGCAGCACTATTCACAATAGCCAAGAGGAAGAAGCAGCCAAGTGTCCAGCAATGGATGGATGGACAAGCAAAAAGTGAAATATCTATACAGTGGAATACTGTCCATCCTTAAATAGGAAGGACATTCTGACACATGCTACAACATGGATGAACCTTAAGGACGTTATGCTAAGTGAAATAAGCCAGTCATGAAAAGACAATTCCACTTACATGAGGTTCTTACGGTAGGCAAAATCATAGAGGCGAATGTTAGAATGGTGGTTGCTGGTGGCTGGGGGGAGGGGAATTGGAGAGTTTGTGTTTAATGGGGACAAAGTTTCAGTTTTACAAGATGAAAAGAGATCTGTAGATGGATGGTGGTGATAGTTGCACAAGAATATGAATGTACTTAATGACACTGGACTGTGCACTTAAAAATGGTTAAGATGGGCCTGGCCATGAGAGAGCGTGGTGCTGGTAACACCAAGGTCACAAGTTCAGATCCCCGTAGTGGCCAGCCACCAAAATAAACAAGAAAGAAAGAATAAAAGAGGCAGAGAGTAGAGAAGTGGTTACTAGAGACTAGAAGGGGGGTATGGTTAAAGGGTGGGCAAGGAATACAAAATTATAGAGAGAAGAAGAATGAGATCTAGTGTTTTACAGCAGTTTAGAGCGACTACAGACAGCAACAAATTACTAAATAACTTCAAGTAGCTAGTTGAGAGGATGTCGAATATTCCCAGTACAGAGGTGACAAATGTTTGAGGACGTGGATATGTGAAACACCCTGATATGATCCTTGCACACAGTATAAATGTATCCAAATATCAGATTGTATTCCATAAATACATATAATTATCATGGGTCAATTAAGAATAAACAAATTAAAAAGAAAAAAATTTCAGAGACAGAAGTAGATTAAGGTTACCAGAAATGGGGTGGGTGGAGGAATAATGAGGAGCTATTGCTTACTGGACAGAGTTTATGTTTAAGATGACAAAAAATTTTGGAAATAGAGGTAAATGGTTACACACCATTGTGAATGTAATTAATTCCATGCAAATGTATGTTTAAAAATGCTTAAAATGGAAATTCTTATGTTATATATGTTTTACCACAATAAAAATAAATAAATACATGTAGGATTTTAGGAGCTCTGTGTCAGGAACTAGAGACAAAGACCAAATATATTTCTTTCTTTCTTTTTTTTTTTTCTTCAAATACGTTTCTTATTATGCCACAATTCCCAGCTCTGCGACCCACTCTGAAAACACCTGTGCCAAGTCTACTTGCAATCAGGCTGTGACAAGAGCTCTTTCTGGAAGGGGCACCTGTGCTGACTGTTCCCTGCAACAACAGGTAAACACTGTGTCCGCTGAGGTGTGAGAGACAGGTGGCAGACAGCCTTGGGAGGGCTAGGGACCCTTCTTGAAACCTGTCAAACTTGATCACGATGATGATAACAACAATCACTAGAACTGGCACGAACTGAGCATCCATCATGGGCCAGGCTCTGTTCTAGGCTCAGAGGACATGGCAGTGAACGAGACAAAAACCTTTGCCCTCGTGCAGCTCAAATTCAGTGGAGGGAGAGAGATAGCCAACAAGTGACGCAATTTAGAAATAATAAAGATAATTGCAGGTAGAAATGAGTGCTGTGAAGACAACAAAGCTGGGAAATCTGAATGAAGAGAAAGAGCCTTGAGGAAATCTTGGGGAAGAGTGTTCCTGGAAGTGGGAACAGTACGTACAAAGTCCCTGAGATGGAAAGAGCTGGACATTGTTGGAAGAACAGAAAGGAGGCCCGTGAGGGAGGGGGTAGTGGTGTGAGACGACAGATGGTCCTTGATTTGCTGCAAAGTAACTTTCTAAAGCTTGGAGGGTGCCCTCCCCCCACTCCCTATACTGTTGGTGAGCTGGGCCTGAGGGGGCACTCCAGCCCCCTCCCCATTCTTTGGGAAGGAATCGCCTCCCTTGGTATCAATCCAGCCATCGCTATCATTTGTTAATCACTAACTGAATACTTTCCATCACAGAATCCTCACAGCCAACTCAAGAAGTCCCCACTAATACTATCCCCGTTTTACAGATGGGGAAAGTAAGGCTCAAGAAGGTGAAATGACTTGCAAAGGCCACACAAATGGAAGTGTCAGAACTGGGATTTGGGGCCGGCCCGTGGCTCACTCGGGAGAGTGTGGTGCTGAGAACACCAAGGCCCCAGGTT